GCCTTCACAAGTAAGGCCAATACAGAGAATTCCTGGCCTTCACCAATTTGCCTGGCTGGTATCTGCACCACAGACTTCAGCCAAAGGGGGAAAAAAAGTGACATTTAGTCCTCGGAACTTCCTCCAGGTATTCAGGATAAATCATGCGGGGAGAGATGAGGTAGCCTCAACACCATCACAATAGCTTCAGGGAAGGCAAAGAATTGCAATACTGATTTGGAGGAAGAAATCATCCAAAACGTCAACGAGACATTCCTTCCTAATCCTTATAAAAAAGGTTAAATGAAAAGTGTGTTACTTTTTTTTTTGGTGTGGGTTTTTTTTTTATCTTCCCTTAAGTTTAGCCCTGTTACAATGTTTGTCCAAAAAAGTATTTATTTCATGTACAGAAAACCTAAGGTCCAAGGACTTTAGAAAAGACTTTGCTACATGGCTTGAATGACTAGTCAGCAGAGAGGCCAGGACTTGGTGTTTCTGCACCTGAGACATGATCCCTTACTGCCCAAGCTGAAAGCCTCAGATCTGCGTGAGGCTCTGCATCAAGAGCCCTCTGCATTCCCCAAGGAACATATTCTCTAAGAACACGTTCTAAGCTAAAATTTTGCCTAACATTCCTGATCAATAATTCTTGAAAAAGAATGTAATAAAATTATAACAATAGTATTCAAAGCTCCAACTCCCACAGCATCCTGCAACTCGTCTCCCTTTCTGCCTTAACTGTAGCATTTATTTTTTTTTCCTCATTTGTAAAGAACACAGAGCATCACTTCTGTGCTTTTTTTTTTGGCAGGGGAACTTTCAAGCCAGGCAACACATACTGGAACTATATTGATACAGAAATTTCTGGGAACATTTCAAAAGTTGAGTTTCTCTGGAAAAAGCATCTAGATCATGTACAGAGAGGCTGCATGGGAGCAGAAGAAGTGACAATAATATCTGGGGAAAATGGAAATATGTGAGTACACAATCTAATGGTGTTCCATTCTGTGGGTCTGGGGTGAAAAAAAACATCAAACAAAACAAAGAAAAAAAAAACAGAAAAAGGGAAAAAATACCCATAACAGCTTTGCACGGTATTATGCCCCTTAAAGCAGTTGGGTTTAAGTACTGAAAATAAGAGCCTAATCTAAATTTCATGGCAGTACCTGGCTGCTTGGCTGACTACAGCTACTCCCACCAACTCAGCACTGCAGCCAGGCTTCCCCAAAGAACAGAGATAACAAATCTGAAATTCAGGGCGGTGGGGCAAGGGAGGGGGCTAGCCCTGAACTTGTAAGGAAGGTACAAGTTTTTCTCCTGAACTGCAGTTCCATGTGCCTACGTCTCCATTAGCACGTAGCACAGCACATCAGAAACAGCTCCGCGCAGTGCAGCAGCATGCTGGCCTTGGCAGGGTGCTTTAGGCTGACTCCAGCCTGATCCCATGGGCTGGGCACACGCTGGCATCTGCAGTACATTAGGTACACTTCTGGAGCACACCTCTCTCTTTAGTTTTAACCAAAATGAACCCAGCTGGTGTATCCCAACACCACTCTGTCATATAACCCAAAGTGTAGTAAGTAGGGAAAATGGAGTGAGAGATTCCCTTCAAAAGCAAGCTCCTGGTGTAAATTAAAATGCTGATGGGATCTGAGCATAAAGGCAAACATGTCTTAAAATTTTATAATTAGTCACTAACTAGTAATTCTTTAAAAAAATCATTTGATAACACACGATTTATGTTCTCAGTCTACTAGAACTCATGCTTTGACCTAACTTGAAATAAAACCAGGATTTATGTTGATTATCTTGGGCTGTTGCGAAGAAAATGTCCCATTGTGCTGAAAAATATTTCCTTAAACTCTCCCTCTCTCACCAGGTCTGTGTTCTGCGGCTGTGGAACCGTGCGGCCGAGCACATGGCAAGCCCTGGCACTTTGCTGAGGCTCTTCGAGGAACGCCGTGGTTGTCCACTGTGGCAATGCTCACCATCTGGAAGTCAGTGGCAAGCTATGAACAAGGCTCCTTCAACAGATTACGAAAAATTTGCCCAGCCCACTACAAAAACTCTATTTCCAAATTAGTGTTGCCAGCTTTTATCCATACAGGGTAGTTACACTTCTGTGAATTCCAGTTGCAATGACAGTTAACATGTATTTTACAAGTTGCACACACATACAAGTGTGATTATGTTTCAGAGTCAAGAGGGAAAATAATAAAATAGAAAAAAAAGTCCTAGCTAATTGCCCTTTGAAATACACTTAATTATCTTAGGAGGAGCATCCAAAAAGAAGGAACGACAAAAAAAATAAAAGGGGAAAAAAAGAAAAAAGAAAGAAAGAAGAAAGGAAGATGAAAAAAAGAAAGAAGAAAGGGGGGAAAAAAAGAAAAAAAGATAAAAAATGGGGTGAGAAAAGAAAAAAGGAGCATAGGCAGCCCAATTCTTTAATAGTGCCAACTTGTTCAGGAAAAGGACACTTTCATGCTTTCAGAAGCATCTGATTGCTTCTATGTCAGGAGCTGGAGGAATAATTTTAAATATAAAAACAATCAGTGTTTGAATGGCATTGCCTGACAAGTCCTTCCTTCCTGACAAACACATTTAAAACAACATTTTAGCAGAACATCCAAAAGACCAGCTTAGGGACAGCATATCAAGTTGTACAGTAGACCTTGAGAAACTCTACTGTCAAAGTTCACCATGTGTCAAGCAGGACAGCTTAATGTACAGCAAAATATTGGATTGTTGCCTTTTTTCCTGGGGAAGAACTCACTGATGTGCTCTGTTCAGCTCTGCTGAACATTGGGTGAGCTGGGACTCTTTCTCTGTACCTGAAACAGGCATCTTCTTTATCAAAACTCTGTTGCACTATTGAGGATCTTCAATTTTCTGTCAGCCTTCAAAGTAACTATTTTCTCTTTACCGGTGAAGCTGAATTTTCCACCTCTACCTTGCCTTTCTGAAGCTGCTGAGGTTGGGCCTGAGCTGCATTATTTTCATTACTGTATAGCATTGCCCCCCCAAATTTGGCAGCATTTTGATTATACTGGTTAACAAAAACAGACTACTAAGAGTTACCAGCATCAGCCAAAATAAGCTAAGATTGTTTATGTTTCAATACAAGCAACCCACTGTCCTGGATTCGGCTGGGATAGAGTTAATTTTCTTCCTAGCAGCAGGCATAGTGCTGTGTTTTGGATTTAGGAGAAGAATGTTGATAACACGCTGATGTTTTTAGTTGTTGCTCAGTGCTGCTTATGCTAGTCAAGGACTTTTCAGCTTCCCATGCTCTGCCAGGTGCACAAGAAACTGGGAGGAGGCACAGCCAGAATAGTTGATGCAAACTGACCCAAGGGCTATTCCATACCATGTGATGTCATGGGCAGTATAGAAACTGGGGGGGTTGGCTGGGGAGCAGCGATCGCTGCTCAGGAACTGGTTGGGTATCGGTTGGCGGGTGGTGAGCAATTGCATTGTGCATCACTTGCTTTGTATATTGTTATTATTATTATCATTATTATACTACTATTATTATTATTTACCTTATTTCAATTATTAAACTGTTCTTATCGCAACCCAGGAGTGTTTTTTCTCACTCTTACTCCTCCGATTCTCTCCCCCATCCCATCGGGGTAGGGGGAGTGAGCAAGCGGCTGCGTGGTGCTGAGTTGCTGGCTGGAGCTAAACCACAACACCCACAAAAATCCTTTTGGTTTTTAATTTTCCACTGTGGTCTAAGACATACAGCTAATTTTTAAATCTAATGTGAGGTTTATCATTTGGGTGCAGAAATCCTGTGTGTGAATCACATCGGGCAACTCTGTTCTGTCCCATCCTAACAATTAGCTATTCCACAATACGTCCAGTGAGGTTTACCAGAAGATGTTAGAGATGCATTACACAAGGCTAAATGTGAGTGATGAACAGGTGTGTTTCAAATTATGCGGCAATAATTTTGAGATGTCAGAATCCAGTTTCCTCCTATGAAGTTTGCCAGAACAGCTTGCTTATCTGATTTGCAGCAAAGCTGACAAATGAGCTGTCTAGCTTCTCAGACTCACTACTTTGGTACCCTTACCATCTCCACCTGCGCGGAGTAGGATCCGGAAACCATTCTGAGCAGAGAACTCATCCTCCTCTACCCCTTAGGGAAACTCCTTAGGCAAGACCCACTTCTTGCTTAAGTAGGGACTCCCCTCTTCTGCTCTACCCTGGAGAAGTACAAAACAACCCCCCAGGTACTTCTACGCAGTTGGGAAACATCTGTAATTACACCATCTTTAACATCCTTCATAAGTCAGGCATGACTCTCTGCCCCAGAGTTGCACAAATAAAAGAGACTCAGGATGGGAAAAATGAAGACTTATTTTCCCTTTCCTACAGTCAGAAACTGAAGCAAAAGAAATGCAAATATTTCCCTTGGGGTCATGAAAAAGTGTGCAGCAAGGCCAGGCACTGGATTGGGTCATCGGATTTAAGGACATGAGGCAGCAGTGGGAGCAGTGCAACATAGGCCATCGCTTCTCACAAGAAGGAAACAATGTCTTGTTGAATTCAAGATTTCTATAAAGCCCATCCCCTCCTGCCTCCATACTTGGCTGTGCCACTTTTGCAACTAAAAATTAATTTGATGTTTTTATGAATAATAAATTATACTCTTAATTCCAAAAACACAAGCTTTCATTTTGTTTAATTTTAAGCTATTGATTTCAACAACGTTCTGACAAAACACAACAGCTCATATGGGCTGATGACTTCTGCTACAAATGTGGTCCAGCTGATTAGACCACTTTAAAATACGCATTTTCTCACCCAATCGGTTCAGCTAAAATTAAAATATTGCATTAATTTCTTCCCTTGTTGTTCTGTTGTGCATTTTTGTCATATACTGTTTCTTGAGTTACTTTTCATTCTTTGGTAAATATCAACACTGCTTTTCTTTGCTAATACATCTATAGACAGAGCAAGAGAGATTTATTTTTATGAGCTGAAGGTGGAAAAAAAACATTGACAGCAGCTTTGTGTTGCTGGTAGCAAATAGTCTTCCTCCTGTTTCCTTCTATCTTTAAAAATGAAAACTGTTACTTGTATGAAACCTTTGGATACTATCATTGGTATTAATGGAGCCAGTCCAAAAAATGCAAGGGTTTGATATTTCACAAGACAATCTGCCTTTGACAAAGACTGGAACAGGTAATTCTTTCATATCTCCACAACAAGGTAAGCCAGCTTTTTAGAACAATTTAAATTGCATCTTTAAAATGTCAAGTGAGATGCACCATTTGATATGTTTGGCTGCCTTGTTAAAAGGCAGCTTTTTTTTTAATCAAATGTGCTTCATTTGTCTAACGTTTTTAAGGCTGTATTATGATTTGCATTGTCTTTTACATTATTTAAATATTCTGCTACACTATGAGTGCTTCAGAATTAAATACAAATTTCATTTAATAGTCCTTAAGCATTTGTTCACTACAAAAATTATGTCAAAGGTAAATACTAACAAGGCCATTATAAAGCATTCAGCCTCAGTCCCTTTTCTCCCTCATGACATTCTTTTGGCAATGGGGTAAGACAAAACAAACACACATACAAACAAATCTCTTAAATCTTTTATATAACAAAGGAATAGCAATAATAAGTAATCCAAAATACTAACTCTCTGCTCACATCATCTGTGTTTACTTTATATGTAACATCAGAAAAATAATTTTAGGAGAACCAGTATGCTTGTCATAAAGTGATATATGAGAATATATCATATATGAGAACATATATGAGATATATGCTACTGAGAAAACAAGGACCAATTTGTCAGAGTTTACCATTAACAAGAATAAAATACTCTATTGCATAGCACAGCAGACTCTTTTCTTCCCAAAAAGCACAGCCTATCAAAATGTCCCTCATAAATATTTGTGAGTCCAGAACCAGAAGTAATAATTAAATAATTTAATTAAATAATTAAAATTAATTAAATAGAACTAACAGGTAGAGACCTCAACGTTCAGTTTATGCAGTCATCTCTCTTCCCACTTTTGATCCTATCTATTTTATTTCTGAGACTTCAGATTTTTTCATGCTACTCTAATATCCTAGAATGTATTGATAAAATCCTTGTAAATGAACCACAAATTTGCAGGAATAAGCCTACCAAGTCCTTGTGGTCTTTCATCTTTGTTAGAGATGAAGCTCGACAAGGCTCATGTACAGAAAGCCTCCCCAGTGCTTTCACTCTGCCTTTGAGACTGTCTCCTTTCTGATTACATCACTTTATAGCCCGGAGACTCGCCGCCATTTTTCCTTATAGAAACTCCAGGGGAAACTCCATAATTTTCTCCAGGTAAAAATACATCTGGCTTTTTTTTCTTCTCCAGATAATCTGTATTTCATGTGTTCCCACGTGATTTTTTTATCAGCTTTGGTTTCTGTCTTCAGGATTCTGTTTCCCCAAGAAAAGCTAATTCTTTTCTACATAGCTGCATTTTGATAAGTTTTTCTGACTTGCCCAGGAGCAAGCCTATTTTCCCAGTTAGCCTTCTTGCAGGTGCATTACCTCACTACCTTCTCTTGCATTTCCTCCTGGATATTTTTGGAGCAAAATTATTTTCCTACAGTTCCCCCACTCTCTTCCCTCAGTGAGAATTACTGATTTTTTCCTTCAGCGGGCTCCAATTCTCAAATGTGTGTCTGTTATGTAAAAGGTAAAATAAAATCTTTGGAAAGTGATTTTGCTGAGCCTTTGATGCAGTCAGGGTATTCTGTGTAACCCCTGGCTCTAACAGTTACATTTGGCAGGCTCCTGGGACAGAAGCAAAAATGAAAATCTTTGTGAATTCCCGACATTCATTTGAGTTATTCTTCCAAAACCAAAGATGACTGGGGTTGGAGTTGCCACTGGGAAGGTAAACAATTGCTCACTGACCTATCAGCAAATCTATCTACATGGACTCAACAAAACTCGTGGCTCTCTTCTTTTGTAGTAACTTCGTAATTTCAAACAGTCTCCAACCTGCTCTAAGTTATTCTGTTTCAAATAATTAGGAAGCAGAAGTTGATAGCAGGCCCAAATCTATTTTTATGGCA